GTGACTTGATTGTGGCCTTGCAGGGCCTGAAGGAGACGATAAGAAGGATGAAGAGAGACTATTTGCAAGGGCCTGGAGTGACAGGACAAGGGGGAATGACTTCAAACTGAAAAACAGCAGGGTTAGGTGGGATATTGGGAAGAAATTCTTGGTTGTGAGGGTGGGGAGGCCCTGGCACAGGTTGCCCAGAGAAGCTGTGGCTGCCCCTGGATCCCTGGAAGTGTCCAAAGCCAGGTTGGATGGGGCTTGGAGCAACCTGGGCTAGTGGAAGGTGTCCCTGGCCCTGGCAGGGGGTGGGACTGGATGATCTTTAGAGTTCCTTTCAACCCAACATTTCTATGATTCTGTGATTCTATGGCAAGTGTTGGGGTCTCTAATATCCCCTCTGGAAACTCCTTTCAGAGTCTCCCTTAGTACCCGTGGAGATCACCCCGGGTGCCAGGGAAGCAGCTCCCAGGCCTTGCAAAGCTGCTGGTGCATCCCTGCTCCTGCTCCAGTGGCTGGGAAGCACAGGCTCCTTCTCCCCAGGGAGGGTTGGGTTGTCCCCAGTGTAAGTAAGAAATCACTACTTACCTCTAAGTAAGAAATCTCAGAGAAGTTTGGGGTTTTCTCTTCATAGGCCACTTTTTCAGTGATGAACAGTTCTGGGTAGGAAGCACTGACCAAATCCACCACAGCTTTTGTAGCTGCAGTGAGTGGAGATGAGCCTGAACTTGCTTTGCAATCCTCTCAGTATGAGCTGACCTTTGCAGGATGTCATTTTTGCTAAACATAAATTGGAATATGTTGGCCCAAATCGTGGGTGGGAGCTGGTTTGTGGAGCTCTCCCTCTTGTACATAAGGATGGGGTGGGGGCATCACAGCCCTGCTGGGGTCATTCCCCTTTTCCTCAGATCAATGGCATTGCAAAATGACAGAGAAGAGGTGGAGATCAATCTTTATCCAGAAGGAAAGTTCTGGTAGCTCAGCCTGTCCTCTGACCTCACATGGAGACCATGCATGGAAAGCTGTTCAAAGATACCCTTACACTTTTCTACCCTCCTGAGACCCCTTTTCTATAAGTAAGAAAGTTATCCAAACTTGGATAATTAAATAAATTTGTAAAGACATAGATATTTGGACAATACAATTTTTTTTCATTTATTTCTCTGTGAACTTCAGAAATATTAAAGGGAGGAGTTTGTATTGTAGGAATGTCACAGAGATCAGGCAGAATTTTGCTGATTCTTAATCTGTATTTCTCTGATACCTTGCATTTTAACACAACACAGGTGTTCTCTGTCACATGGGGAAAATAGTAGCATAGTGAAGAGGAAAAAATGTGTTTCATACACTTATTTATGAACTTACATCTGCTTTCATCAGAGTCAGTGGCTGGCAAAACTCCAATAAGCTTCAGTAGGAGTGGGTGATAAATTTAACCATCAAATCAGCTCAATTTTAAGTGACCCTGCATAAAGGTGAGGCTTCCAGGTCCAAGGCCCTGTGAGGAAATACTTTCTCAACAGGCATTTATCAGCAATCAGAGCTGAATCAGCTCAGGCCTGGACTGTTCTTGGGTGCCATGATTGTCTGAAGCCTTCCCTCTTTTTCGGTTTTTAAATGTTTTTCGTGTAAATTCCAGGTGTAACACAGTATATTTACAAAGGGTAAGAATAACATGCAGCTGCAAAGAAAAACATCTTGTGTTTCATTTCAGACCCGGAGCTGAGGATGAATCACTGCAAAGCTGCACCTTTTACACCGGGCATGCTTTCCAAAAGCTGCTTTTCCACCCTGGTGGCTCAGAAATAAAGCAGACTCACAGAAAGTCCTAAAAAAAAAAACAACCCTTTGTAGACAATCACTCTCTTGTTGTTCTGGGCACTAGAAGTACCATTTTCTAATGTCTGTTTGCATTTTCAGTTTTGCTTTCTGTACTGTGGAAGTCTGTTCCAGGCAGTTGAACTAAGCCCTGGCTCAGTGGTTTTGAGCCCACACTCAATTTGAAGTATCTGAGTAGTCCTGTTGGTCCCATGGAGCTGCTTAAGTGCTCAAAGTTAAGCTTGGTCTTGGGAGATTTGATGAATGGGAGATTTGCTTGTCCACCCAGTGAGCTCTTGACCATCTGCTTCTGGATCTTGATGAAAAGTTATGACTTATTTATGATCTTCTCCCCCACCCCTGTGTGTTTATATTCAGATCAGAAAACCATCTCAGAAGCCCTGTCAGGTTGCCAGAAGTTGTGTGCTACTGGATCTTTCACATCATTTGCTGTTCAGTGTTTACAAGAGTGTTTTTCATGCACAATTGCCCCTAGAAATGGTGTGGGCTGTGCCAATGGGATATTTCACATCAGCAGAAAGACTTTGGGGTCCCTGTATCCCTAGTTACTGTTCCCAGAAAAAAAACAATAAAAAAAATAACTGTGCCAGTTAGATTAAAAGATGCTCCTGGCTCTCCATTTCCCCAAAACATCCCTAAAAAGTCAGTGAATGGGCCAAATAGTTCTTTGTACCATAATTGCTTTTGGAAGTCATGGTGCACATCTGCACAGGTCTAAGGGCAGCAGGAGGAGGATGTTTCCTAATACACATGATTTAGTGTGCAGACTCACTTATGCATACATGCCGTTTCTCTTTATTAAAGTAAATAGAAAAATCCAACGTTTTGGTCCCAAGGAACCGTCACAAAAGCTCTCTTTCAACGTTTTATGTCCAAAAGAAAACGTTGCTTTGTTTTGCTCAGCTCTGCTTAGACAGAAATAGCTACAGCCCAGGATTATAATTAGTGGTGTGTAGTAGGAGAGCAAAATTAAACCTGGGAGAGTAGTGCCCAAGTGCTCTGGTTGTGAGAGGAAAGGCTGAATTCCCCACCTCTCAAGGGCAGGTGCTGACTGTATCTTCCTTGTAGTTGTTATTCAGCCCTGTGGCTGACAGAGCAGTTTCAGGGCCTTTACACAAGGCACATTTCATATGGAATATGAATATATTTTATTTTTAAACTGAAAACCATCAGCATTTAAATTTTCTTTTATATACATACATTAAGGGGTAAAATTAGTAGAAACACTGCATAGAAAAAACCTGATATATATATATATAAAATGTAATTTTAGTATCAAAGATTTTCAGGAAGTCTTCTCACCTTTCCAAGTCCTGGTTACTTTCTTTAAAGCACATGTGTGAGAATTATAATTGCATTACTTCCCGAGCCATGGTAGTGCTGAGCAGTCAACTGAGTCACCTGGGAATGGGATAAAATATCTGCCACACCCTTTTGTTGTGTGTTGGACAGATGTTGATCCAAACTATACATTATTTTCCCTCTTTTGCCCTCAAACAATAGCAAAACCCTTCTGGGAAGACACGTGTGTTCTGACCACTGGTGGGCTCACAGTGACATTGCTGCTTGCAAGGATTTCCAATGGAATTTCCAAGCTGGGGAAAGCAAGAGGATCTGTGTTAAACACATTTTACAGGGCAGATCATGAAAAGCACTTTCAGCAGTCTGGGTCTTGGAGAGTCTCTTGGTTCTCTAGACTGAAAAATAATTGGAAGCAAATGAAGCATCAGAAGCTGACTTAGAGTCCAGAGGAGGCCACTAAATTAATCCCAGGGCTGGAGCACCTCTGCTATGGAGACAAGGCGAGAGTTTTGGGATTGTTCAGTCTGGAGAAGGCTCCAGGGAGACCTTGGAGCACCTTCCAGTGCCTAAAGGAGCTACAAGAAAGTTGAAAAGGGACTTTCCTATAGGGCCTGGAGTGACAGGACGAGGGGGAATGGCCTTGAGCTGAAGGAGAGCAGGGTTAGATTGGATATTAGGAAGAAATTCTTGGCTATGAGTGTGGGGAGGCCCTGGAACAGGTTGCCCAGAGAAGCTGTGGCTACCTCTGGATCCCTGGAAGTGTCCAAGGCCAGGCTGGACAGAGCTTGGAGCAACCTGGTCTAGTGGAAGGTGTCCCTGCCCATGGCAGGGAGTGTGACTGGATGATCTTTAAGGTGCCTTCCAACCCAAACCATTCCATGGTTCTAGGATTCTGTGATTCTGTGACTTTCTGCTTGTTTAGTAAGCCCATAGTACAGTTTCAGGAGTTAAATGGTAGGACTAAAAGAAAGCTTGTCAGTAATGAAGTATCACTAAAAAACCCCAAACCCAGCTAACACCCTCCTTCCCTTGCCAAGCAGCCCCTTTACATTTCCAGGTATTCCCCATGGCTGTGTTCTTTGTTTTGATTTTCGTAACAATTTTTCTCTCCCTGATGAAACACGTTGTAGACATTAAATTAAGGGACAAATATGTCTTGTGTCTGCCAGAAAGAAAACTGTGATGCAATTAAAATGCCATTAGGGAGCCCCCCGTGGGATGTTAAACCTAAAAGCCCTATTCAGAAGGCAGAGCCAAAATTAAAGAGGTGTCTGGTTGCAGATCCTCTGCAGGTTTCCATTCCTTGACTACAGTGCCATGGAGACTGGGCTGGTCGGGAGCTGAAAGGTTTTTCCAGTCGTGTGTGTGGTATTTGGAATTGTGGCTTTGGCAAATGCTCCTTTTCTGGGAGCCACACATGGAAAAGTGTGACATTGCATGGCATAAAGAGCAGCTGAGCCTGGCCCATGTGAAACAACGATGGCAGCAGAGATGGGAAGCTGTCCAAGCCTTGGACAATGGCAACTAATAATAGTTTTCCCTCAGAAAATTTGCATTAGGTACAGCTCTGTGTTTGTTGAGTCGCCTGTGAGGTGTTTGGAGGGAGAAATGCAGCCACCAGGCTGAGGAAGGTCATGGACAAGCCTCAATTCCGTGTTGGTCTCTGGGAGTAAATCATTAGTGTTTGCAGTTTTGGAGACATAAATACGTGGTCCACTGAGTGAAGGAATCAGCAGAGTCACTGGGTGGCAGATACTGAGTTTTCCAGGGACAGCCCAAGTCCTGTTTTTCCATTTCATTCAGGGTGATTCTTTGCTAACAGCAGTAATAGGGATTGGAATAATAATAGAAGCACACCTTTCCTCTCTGTCTAGGAATTCTCCTGATGACTGCAGCGTGGCAAAAGGAGGGAAGATGGTCAGCGGCTCAGACAGTGTTGGGATGAACTATGGAAACTACATGGAAGAGAAGCACGTTCCACCCCCAAACATGACCACCAACGAACGAAGAGTCATCGTGCCAGCAGGTGAGACCCCCTGCTTGAAAATTTCAAGCTGAAAAAATTGCATTTCCCTCAAATTTACTAAGATTATTTAAGGAGATTTGGACAAAAGTGGCAATCAGGACGAAAAGAGCAGTAATTTCCCAGGGTTATTGAGAGAATGAGATGAGAAGTATCTCAGCAAAGCCACCTCCTCAACCTATTCTTATCAATTCATCAGCAGGACTGGCTGATGACAGGCACTCAGATCTTATCTGACTTCTCCAGCTCCTTTTGGAGGATTTCACCCTAAAGTGGGCAAAAGAGCCACTTGCATTTCCTGGACCATGGACTAGCTGGGTGCAGCCTGTGTGGGAGAAAGGATCACTGTAGCACATGAAATCCAAATACCAAACCACCCTCAGCACACGAAAAGCACAATCCACCAGGGCATCCAAAGCCTTTTATCTGGGTTGTCTCCCCTGAGTTTAGGCAGTGTAAAACATTTTAATAAGCAAACTGACAACTCCACTGCAATGTAAGAGCCCAGTTGAGAAATTCCTGGTTAGCCTTGGCAGGCTTGGCTGTGGGATCCAGCAGTTAATGGGCCAAGAAGGCACATTCACTTCTTGCCCTCCAAACAAACCTCTGCTGGAAGTCTGGTTTGTAAAATAATTAGCAGACCCATTTCCAAAATCAGAGGCCATCATGCCATATGTGGTTGTTGATAAACCACTGGATGCACACTGGATAAACACAACACCTGCAAGCAGGAGGGAATGTTTTGCTACTGGTTCCTCCCCAGCAGAGATGTGCCTATCTGAAATATTGCTGCCTCTGCTCTGTTGCTTAACATTCTTACAGTTTTTCGGTTGCTAAGATGTGCAAGAGTACTGACTGTGGCCAATTTTGCAAGCTGTGATTATTTCAGTTATTTGTCAAGATAGGTGTGGACAAATCTGTTGCAGTGTCCTCTGCAATGGTATTGTCAATTCTGTCCTGAAGACAGAAGAGTGATGCACTGAATAATGAGTGTCCTGCCAACTGGAAGGAGACCACACTGAAATGCATGACATTTAAATATTCTTCTAAAATATTTGTCTTCCTGGTGTTTGGCATTTTTTAGTCTTTTAGCAACCCTTAGCTCAGCAAGGTATTTTTTTCCTAGTGTATTCCTGGAGGTGTGTTTCGAGGTCAATTTGAGTGACATTCAAGGAATGTCACAGTCACTATTTTGGGGTCACTGGAAGAAATAAATAGGCAAAAATCAGTAGGTTTTGATTACTGCATAGGCAATGTGCAGTTCATGTGGCAACATTCATAAACGAAAAAGTCATACTTCAGCTGTGGCAACTTTCTTATTCTAATTATCATAAACAGGAAGAATTAAAAATTATGGGCATCATCAAAATGTTTTGATAAACCTCCTGGTGTTTGGCTGTTTACTTCAAACCAAACTGAAGTAGTTGTCAGAATTCTCTGCTGTAGGTGTGGCCAGTCCCATCCACACCCCAGATTTACCACCAGACTTGCATCCCTCTAGTTTGCTACACATTTCATACCAGATGGAGGTATTCTTTTAAGTGTTTTTGCTGAAATGCAGAGAACAGAGAAGCCCAAGGCTTAAAATGCTAAGAGAAGCATTAGAAAAAGGGAGGCACTAAGGGATGAAGGATTAGGAGTGAGCAACAACATGAGAGTCTCTCGGTATTCCCTGTGGAAAGAGGTCTCCACCTCTTTCAGACCAACCTGAAGAGTCAGAAGAGAGGGAATGGCACTGAAGTTAAGGTATAGAAAAGCTATTTAAGTTATCATCCAGGTCCCAGCCCTTCTACAGACTTCCATGTCTTGGACAGCAGCCAATCGACCTCCATGTGCTCCATTCTCAGTCTTCAGGATGTCACAGAATCACTGAGTCTTTTAGGTGGGAAGGCAGAAACTCTTGAAGATTTTTTTTCCCCTTGGCTTTAATACTTTTCTCTGCACAAAGTATGTATTGTTCATGTAAGGAACTGTCTCCTGTTGTGGGGAGGTTCACTAAAGGTCCTGAGGGGTCTTCATGATGTCGGGTCCTTACTCAAGAACAGTGAAAAGTAAAATGGAAGAGAAACGGAAAAGGAGGAGTTTAGAGGGGGGAAAAGAGTTAAAATTAAGGATTCATTCAAAAACATTTTGCTGCAAATCTGGACTGGTTCTTGTTTTGTTTTTTTTTCCCCAGGTGGTTTTGCCAATACTACAGGTATAAAGTAAAAACCCAGGCAGGTGTAGCAATGTACTCCAGTACAACACAGCATCCAGGAAAGAAAATGTGAAATGTTTTAATATTAGTTAGGATATTACCCTAGTTTATGAAATAACTGGTCAAATCTGTGAGTTCTTACTTAATCTACACCCAAGAAAGTGTAGGTCTGACATGAGTGGAAATTTCACTTGAATAAAGACACAGATTCAACAGGGAGCTTTGAAAATTGTTCAGCTACGAGTTGCAGAGCTGTTGGTGGGTCAGAAACCTCTGTTAATCTTTGGGTAAAACTTATGAGACAGAAGAACTAAATGAGAGGAGGAGCTCATTCAGCAGCAGAGGTTTTGTTAACACTCAGCTCACAGCTCTTCCCTATCAGTTTTCCACAGACAGTTATTATCCCTTGAGACTGGAATGGGCAGAGGAGTTACGACCTTCCAGGTGTGGACATCTTGTTCCAGAACAATCTGTTAATCAGTGGATAAAACTAATGGCATGGGAGAAATAAATGAGAGAATGAGCTCAGGGCTTGTTGGTAACACTCAGAGCTCACAGCTCTTCCCTAGCAGTTTTCCACAGGCAGTTATTCACTCTTGCACTCAATACGCCGAATTAATTCCTCGTGCACCTCCAGCAGTCAATAAACAGGGGGTTAAGGTGTCTCCAGTTTGTCTGTGCCTACATTTATTTTGCACTGGTCCAGTGCATCAACACTCACCCTTCTCTCCTTGATTTTTGTGGTTTGTGCCACCCCCAGATCCCACGTTATGGAGCACAGACCACGTGCGCCAGTGGCTGGAGTGGGCGGTGAAGGAGTACGGGCTCCCGGACGTGGACATCTTGTTGTTCCAGAACATCGATGGGAAGGAGCTCTGCAAAATGACCAAAGATGACTTCCAGAGGCTCACCCCAAGCTACAATGCAGACATCCTCCTGTCACATCTACACTACCTCAGAGAGAGTAAGCCAGTTCTCTGTCACCGTGGTAGAGCCTGTGGTCAGTCTGTGGCTGATGCCAGTCTTAAATTTCGTGGTGTGGATAACTTTGTGGACGACTTAACTGGGTGTGCAGATGTTGCTGTTCCTAAGAACACAGTAGGGAACGTGATCCAAGGCCTTTTGAGTCTGATGGAAAGATTCCCATTAATTTCAGTTGGCTGTCGCTCACGTCCATCGAAGGAAAAGAGTCAGGGAATCTTTCTGCGTATCCATCTCAGAGGAAAATCAAGCTGAAATTCAGAGTATTCATCAGCATCATGTAGGGAGAAAATCATATGGGATTCAGTGCTAATGTTTTTTCTGGTCACATACTCATTTCTTTCCATTTTAATGATGAGGATGCTAAACAAGAGCACAAACATTGATTCATAAAGCGAATTCCAGGCATGATTCGAAGGACTGGCAGCAGTTTGCTGCCCTCTGAATAGGATCAGGGAGATTTAACTGAATTGAATTAAAATTCTGTAAATTCATGGGAAAAAAAAAAAGGAACAGTCCCTGGAGTCCAAATGCAAATTGATTGTGGTGCATGGTTAGCATTTCAAAGGGAAAGAAGGGACGAGGGTTTTCACCTAAGCTTGAGGAAAATTTTGAGAAGTTAAAATGAAGATGGTTTTTAGAATAAAAAACAACAACCATCATTGCAACACCAGTGCGGTGCAGTCTCCTCCACACGCACACTGCCAGGAAAACAGTTCAGAAATATTGTGCATTCATAATGTGGAATAAATTGAATAAATGAATGCCCTGGTTTGAGCTGTAGCAAACACCCCTCCCTCCAAAGTGCAGGCTGGAACTCTGGACAGACTCGCATTCAGACAATCCTGTCAGGGGAAAAAAAATATGGTTTTAAAAAAAAAGATAATTCACAGATTTTTTTTTTTTACGTTTTGGTGTTGCTTTTTGTTTTGTTTTGTAGCTCCTCTTCCACATTTGACTTCAGATGATGTTGATAAGGCCTTACAAAACTCTCCACGGTTAATGCATGCTAGAAACACAGGTAATGCTGGCACTGCTCCCATTGCTATAGGGCATCTTGGAAAAGCACAGGATTCCTCTTTATGGGTTGCTTGCTAAAAAAAATGGAAGTGGTAAATCCAGGAGGGAGACAAGTGGATCCTCTCCTTGCTGTGTGTGTGAGTTTTATGCACAGACACACGGAGAGCAGGTGGGATCACACAGGGCCAGATGGTACAAAAATGGTCTCCTTGCTGGTAATTTCTTGTGTCCTGCAAGAGAAGGGGGTCCCTCACTCATAATAAACTGGAGGTTTGGGGCCTTTTATCCTTTTATCTGAGGACTTTTTTTTCTTATTCTGTCTCACTGTACTGTCAGATCTACTCCACAGGTCCCTAGAAACCTGTTGGAGCTCAAAAGTGCTTCAGCACTTGCCTGAGTGCTTTGGGCTCTGGTGAATGGGGATGTCTCCACCCATGCAGCAAATATTGTAGTAATCAATACAATTGCTATTTAGGCAGTTAGCTTATCTCATTTTCTAGCTATGTGAGCTGGAAATTCCACTAAGTTTGGTGTTGTAATCTCCACTAAGTATGATCTGGATATAAAACAATTTTTGTTGATATTCACCTTTCTGTTGATTTGGCCCAGAAAACTGTTGAGTGTAGGTAGGAGAATGACACGTGCCTCAAAAGCATCTGTCTTTCAGAATGTAGCTTAAAATATTTATGAGAATAATTCAGAATACATTTTATCTTTAACAGTTGTGCAACAGAGGATGGCATGGAACTGTACATACAGTATGTTATACATGCTGACTAAAGATGTTTGGAATATTGCATGATCATGCCTGAGGGTATTAGTTACCTACAGTGACCAGAAATAACAATCCTTTATGAGAAATGAAAAAGATAATACAGAGGATAATGCAAAAGAAAAAGAAAACAAGACTTGGATTGCAATGCTTTATTTAGTTTTTCACTTTGAGTGAGTTTTCCAGCAAAATTCACCAGATTAAAGATCTCTCCCTGAGAACAGACGTTTGCCACCAGCCATAGTGGCAAACACAAAGTCCTACTGTGGGTTGTAGTCCTGCTGCAAACCCCACCAAAGGCAACAAAAAAGCAAATTCCATTTATTTTGATGTGGTTTGGAATAAGACTGAAGTCCTTTTTAAAAATAGATGGACTTTTCCATCTCTGGCTTTTGAGATTCTAATTTGCCAAGCACCTTCCATACATAGAGATATCCAAGTGTTGTTCAGCAGTTCTGTGTGTTATCTTTTTCTATATATGTGCACTGACAATGATAGTTGGACATTCATTTCACCAAAATAAGATTGTCTGCATCTCTACCATTGGGAGTGGGAATGCTCATCATCAGCACAGGGAAATTTTCAGTGGATCAAAATAGTTAGAAAGAAATGATTCTTGAAGTCAACAATAATTACACAATTCCTTATGACCCTTTTCAGGTTCCTGGAGAGGGTCATGAGGAGCCCATTGGGGTAGTTGGAGCAATTTCAGTGCCTGAGATATGTGAGGGACTATTTCCTACATCAAGTTCAACATTTCTAATTTTTCCACTAATGAAAGATAATGAAATTTCTGTGGGCCTGACCCAAAAAGTCCCTGTTTGAAAATATGAACCTGTTTAGGGAATGGCAAAGAAGTTTTATTTCAGAACATACAAAGCCCAGGTGGAGGTGTTTGTGACGAGGGGAGAAGGGATTTCCTGGACTTCACTGTCCTTCCTTAAAACAGATTTTTGCAGAGTTTTATCCAGTTATTTGAATGGATTTATATGGGTGTAAAGACTTCCAGAATGAATTTTTATGTATAACACTCCTAAGAGAGAAATTAGTTACTCATAGTCTTTATTCAGACACAGGAGGGAAAATATCAGTGGGTTTAGGGGCTGTGGAAATGAATCTTTAGGTGTTATTTCATCTTCTCTCTCTTTAGGAGGTGCCACTTTTATTTTTCCAAATACATCAGTTTATCCAGAAGCAACACAAAGAATTACAACCAGGCCAGGTATGAACAATGACCACCTTTTGTGTGCTGTGATGTTACTCTTTTCATCTCTTGAAGTATCTCATTTTTTTTCTCCTTTAATTCTCTTTTTTTCATAAATATTGGGCTGTATTTTGAATACACACACATATATTATATACCTGTATTATATATGTGTGTTTATATAATTGTGTAGAGTGAGTTGATTAAATAGAGCAGTTTAATAAGTCTGTTTCTTCCACCTATCTCTCTGCTTTTAAACAACTTTATTTACTGTCTAAAGCACCAGAGAATGAGAACTGAGCTCTGTTCAGTTTTTCTGCTGCATTGTCCCAGCACAATCACTTTTCACTGTGCTTAAGTTCTGTGTTTGTAAAATGAGACAAAATTTCCCTCTTCTATAATCCTATTTGAAGTATATAGGGTAAAAACACTCTAAAACTGCAGGATACATGTTTCTCCTGCTATCTGTTTTTTATTTATGTTTGAGGCAGGCAAACCCCACAACATCTGACTGGGAGTTTAAGAGATTTAAATCAGAAAAATCGAAACATAAGAAAGCACTTCTTGCTCAAATGTTTAAAGCCCACAAGAGTTTATTGTGGATGTGCTGGTTGTGAAAAGCTAAAGGAAATAATTAAAGAACGTGAGGACGTGGCTAGGAAGCTCAAATTTTTCTTTATATTACCAATTCACCACAAGAAATTCTGGAAAAATGCCTAATCTGGACATTTGCTTTACTAATAATGAGTGCAAAGTACTATGAGACATCAAGAGGAGTTGCAGCAAAATATTAAAGTTAAAGGAAATCCATTACTGAGCCAGGGACATAAACCCAAGTGTTCTGAAGGGACATGCACTTGAATTGACTAAGCTCTTGTGAAAAGATACATTTTTGCCTTAAAACCAGGGGGATTTGGACAGCAAATATTTTATCTATGCTCTAGGGTATAATCAGGATGATGCATACAAGAAACTATTTTATATACACTTTTATACTTGTATACATATGCATGTCTGTAGATTTGTTAATTGATAATTAAAAAAGATAAAGATAAGATAAAGAAACCAATGCCAGGCCATTATGGGTTCAAATCCCCCCTGCTCAGGTTGTTGGAGAACAAGCTCTTCTGCTGCATTTATTTGTCTACAGTAGTGAATAAAAAGGCTTTGGGGTGACTTAATTGTGGACTTCCAGTGCCTGAAGGGAACCTGCAAGGAAGATGGAGAGAGAGATTTCCAAGGGCCTGGAGTGGCAGGACAAGGAGGAATGGCTTCAAACTGACAGAGAGTAGGGTTAGATGGGATATTAGGAAGCAATATTTCCCTGTGAGGGTGGGGAGGCCCTGGCCCAGGTTGCCCAGAGAAGCTGTGGCTGCCCCTGGATCCCTGGAAGTGTCCAAGGCCAGGTTGGACAGGGCTTGGAGCAACCTGGGCTAGTGGAAGGTGTCCCTGGCCCTGGCAGGGGGTGGAACTGGATGATCTTTAAGGTCCCTTCCAACCCAATATTTCTATAATTCTATAATTTTGTAATTACCTAAAAGCAGAGATTCCTCTAAAGGATCCCTGTACAGGCACCCAGGAAGCTCATTAGAGAGAAATGGCTTGGCCATATGTTAACAGCTGAAAATACAAGTTGATAAATAAAGACACAAGTTATTTGCATATCTTGCTGACTTCAAATTAGCCCTCTTCACTCATGAAAGAACAACTCAACGTAGTCATCTCTGTTTCTGGCACAGTGACAGCCACTGCTCTAGTGAAAAAAAAGTGAACAAATGAAGAAACACGGTGGAGGATCATGTGGGAAATCTGACTGTGCCATAAAATAAACCAGCAGAGTAGCCTTGCATGGAAAGCTGGTGAATCATCCCTTATCAAAAAGGCTATTTGCAGAATTAAAAAGGGAAAGCCATGGGAATGTGGAAAAAACTTCCGAGCACGTTGAGAGATAGAAATGTTTGAAATTGTTCAAATCAAGGTCTGGGGTTGAGGGAACACGATACAATTACCTAAATAAGGAGTGTCCCAGGGTACCTGCTTAGGCTCAGAGTTAGAAGAAAGAATATTAAAAAAAAAAATCAGTTATTTTAATGAAATGTTAAAGCAATAACACAGGTTATAGGAGCACCCAGGAGCTTTGAGTGGCACGGGGGAATGTTGGCATGATTATGATTAAGAAGACAAAATATAGTTATAGAAACAATTACCAACTATACCATGTAGATCCTGATGCCCAAAACTCTCAGGAGTTCCCAAGGGAGACAAACATGTAACATAAGACCAGAGGGACCTGGGTGTCCTGCAGGAAATAGGCTGGAATAAGTCTATTTTATGGTATTTTCCACTGGACTGAACAAAAACTGGACTTCATATCCCACAAGAAGTTCTATGATTTCAATATTTGTTTCATTCTGGCTTTGATGGAAAAGTAAAATACTGTTTTGTTATGAAGGAAAAGGTTGTAAACCACATATCAGACATGGTGAACTCCTTCATTTCAGCTTTTTTATCTACCCCGTGTTTAAAATGACAAATAAAACAAAAAGCTTTACTCCAGCATCTTTCTGTTTTTACACAACTACTTGTGGGAATTGCAGTTTGGATACATGGTGTCTCTGTTCTTCTGTGCAGAGCAGTGTATCCTAACTGAATGTTTTCTACAAAAAAACTATCCTGTGATCTTGGAAACATTATTTTATTTTATCTTTTCCAATTGAGAGTGGGCAGACATCCTCAAAGTCAGAATTTTTGCGCAGAAGGAAAAAATGCTTTTTGCAGAAATTCAGTTTTCTTTCAAGAAACTGTTTTGTTGGCTTATCCTGTGGCTTTCCTTTTAGTTAAATGTCACATTTCAACCAGACTGCAAAGAAGCTTTTCCATAACAAAACACTGTTCGTGTGAGAGCAACAGCAGGCCCTGGGGACAATCACTTGATGACATGAAAAAGGTCAAAAATGAGGAGGGGGGAATAAATAATGCCCAGTGGGAGTTAGCCAGATTCTAGGCTGCAATTCTGGAGAAAGCAATTAAGCATTGTCATTGTTAAGGCACCACAATAGAAAATGGGAAATGAGCAGGGCTTGCCATGAGCTGCAGTCAAAAAAAAAAAGGAGAATTTCTTCAGTCACCTTTACAACAGAACATGAAGTTTCAGAAAATAATTAATACAAGGAGGCCTATTGGGAGCTCAGTGAGACCTGGTGTGGGTTTGTCTACATGTCTCACCAAACGGGAGCATTCCCAGAAAAGATCTTTCCAAGATAAGCACACGTTGTACTAATATCTCATGGACAAGAACAGCTCTTCTTATCTAGAGCAGCAACGTGTTTATCAAGGCATGGCACTGAACTAAGAGTGAAGTTGGAATTTTGCACTATTTCAAGAAGGGCTGATAACTGGATTCTTCTTCCCATGGGGAGGGTGTAGTAAACAAAAAAAAAAAATCATCTTATGGTGTGTTGAGTTAAAAGGCAAAACATTTTTCTCACGGTACTAAATTTGTACCAAATGTATTTCGAGGCTGCAAGTGGCACCAGGTACAGGCACGTGGTGTCACAGAGTCCCCTCAGGGCACAGGGTCTAAGAATTTGGAGACCCAAGAATAGGACAAAGAGAAGAGAAAGAGGGGAAAAGAGAGGAGAAAGAGGGAAAAGGAGGGAAGGGGAAGGGGAAGAGGAGAAGAGGGAAGGGGAAGGGGAAGGGGAAGTGGAAGTGGAAGGGGGAAAGGGGAAGGAGGAAAGGGGAAGGAGGAAAGGGGAAGGGAAAGGGGAAGGGGAAGGGGAAGAGGAAGGGAGAGGGGAAGGGAAGGGAAAGGGAAGGGAGGGAAGGGGACAGGGTATTGGGGAAATGGGGAAGGGGAAGGGAAATATAGGGAAGGAGGAAAGGGGATAGGGAAAGGGGGAAAGGGGAAGGAGGAAAGGGAGAGGGAAGGGGAGGGGGAAGAGGGGAAGGGAAAGGGGGAAGGGGAAAGGTTTGGGAAGGGGAAGGGAAGGCGAAAGGGGGAAGGGGAAGGGAAGGGAAAAGGGGGAAGGGGGAAGGGGGAAGGGGGAAGGGAAAAGGGAAGGGGAAGGAAAAAGGCGGAAGGGGGAAGGGGGAAGGGAAAAGGGAAGGGGAAGGAGAAAGGGAAAGGGAAGGGAAAGGGAAGGAGAAGTGTTGCACAGTGTCTTTCTGGACACGGAATGGAAGAGCTGGAGGAAAAAAATATGAGATGTCTTTGATTAAAATGTTAATAGCAGTGGTGATCTCCACCTGGTCAGGACATCTGCACTATACAGTGATTCACCTGCACACCAGTACTGTGCACTTGTACAGTTCATGTTATTTCTGAAAGACAAGGCTGTGGAATAGTTCTCAAGAAATCAGGGGTACAAGATCACTAGTTTTGAAAATGCAATACGAAGATAAATTACATATCTCAGTAAAAGCAAAGGTTTTGAAGTGTGAGATTCTGGGAGGTGGCAGTGCTGGGAGTGCCAGTTTACACCCTTTAGCCAAACAGATTAATAAATTGAAGGTGTTTTGCTTGGGAATTTCACATTGCACTTTATTTCCATTCAATATTTCTTCTCGTAGTGCTTGGAAATGGGCAGATACATCTGCCTTGCCCAGAGCCGGCCTGTGGCTGTTTCTTTGCTTCCCAACTGGTTTAATTTCCAAACATAAATTCCTAAATAAAGCAGTGATAAGAACCAAGACATCCACGCCAACTTAGTTCACCAGGTGGGCACTGCTGCCTTCCTGAGGTCCTGGGCAGGCTACTTAAGTCTCAGATTTTGGCAGCAGTTTTAACTGATGTCTTAAAGTCAGCCATGGAAAAGCACAGGAAACTGCAAAGATTTCAAAGGGTAAAGCAAACATTTGAATTTACTACATTTACTTTCTGAAGAAAACTTTTGTGGTTTAGTTTCTTCATTTTTTTTTTTTTTATTCCAAAGCATTTAAATAAAATAGAAGTAATGAGCAACTGAAAGAAGGGTAAAATAAATTAAGGAGCTTGTCCCAAGAAACAGAAAGGAATAAATCAACTAAAGCCCATCTTCTTAAAAGGAAATACTTAGATGCTGAAATTGGGAGGGAATTTTATGCACAAAATCAGCTCTGACCTCTTGGGGGACTTTTCCTGCAAGACTCTAACACAGATTATTCATTATATCAGTGTTTGTCATTCCTTGTTGTCCTGGGCTGAGGAAGAGGACTGAAGGGAGTACTCTGAGTCTTTGGAAGTGATGAACTCTGTATATCCTCTAAATATTGTTTATAGCAGCTATTTCAGTGCAGTTTGGACTTCTAAGAAGAACAGGCACCTCTAAAGAGCAATGCAGAGGGCAAGGTGGTGCTGTTATTTTTAGAGACAATAAAGATGATAAAGGTTTAAACAAGGAATATCCTTCCTGGTTCAGTGATTTTTCAAATCCAGAGCCCCCTAGAAACATGCCCTTTATGGACATAAGCACTTTGTGCCTTATCTGCATGAATAAACGTCTTTTTCCTCCACAGATTTGCCTTATGAGCAAGCCAGGAGATCAGCATGGACGAGTCACACCCACCCCAGTCCTCAGTCAAAAGGTAAAAAGCATCTGCACATCTGGGGTAACCTGGATTAGACTCCAAAATGAACTGTCAGGAGCTCAGCACTCAGCTCTGGAGGGTTTTTACCTGTGCATTGGCTGGAAATCCTGTTAGCAGTGTATGGGAAGTACTGGGTGGTGTCACTGGGCAGCCACAGCCTTCCCTAAAGTCCACAAAGTCCATGAAGTCCATCACCATTTAGTCTTGTAAAGCTTAAATCCTTTTGTGTCCATCATGGAGTGGTGAGCAGCAGGAGCTCCCGGCCTCTCGTAGGTTTGGTGACCGACTTCCTAACTGGAAAAAATAACTACATGGGGTTTCTTTTCCATTTTCAGCTACTCAACCATCATCCTCAACAGTTCCCAAAACAGAAGACCAACGTCCTCAGTTAGGTGGGTGTCATTTTGTTTGAATTGTGCCTGGGTGTGATGGGTTTGTTGAACAAGATGAGAAGGAAAGTTCTCACCTGCATCCTCTGGTTCAGACCACTAATGAGATCCCCAGCTGGTGACCACTAAAACCCCAGATGAGTATGAGTTGGTTCTACAGCTGGATCTGAGATGAAGGTTCCCTTGGCCCCTAAAAGTTGCTTTTAGTGGTGCTTAAAGGCAGTGACAGCCTTGCAGGGTGAAAATTCTTCTAAAAAAAGTCCCTGTGCACAGTTTAGCCACAAGGGTGGAAGGAGAGGATGTCAAAAGACCCCAGTAGCTGAAATGCCAGCAGCTGGAAAATGTGCATGAGCAAAGAAATGAAAATAGCTTACAGCAAACAGAAACTTATTTGAATTTGGCTCCTGGAATACAACAGGAATATCAGAGGGATTCTCAGTCTATTGGGAAACTGAGGAGAAAGTAGAAGTTTATGAGTTTGTAAACTGGTGGTTTGAAAAATGGGTGCCTTTTGTGTTTTCAAAGCAGCAAATCCATGGAGTAGGACGTAATCCCTTAGTATGTTTTGCACAGGTAGCTGGAAAGCACTACAGAGATTTTGAGTCTGTTATGGCTTTTGTTAAAAGTAAAAGGTTAGGAGGAGGAAATAAAAGAGATTTAGAGGATATTCTTAGCTCAGAAGACTCTGAGCCAGTTTTTATCACATGGATTTCAAATCATTATTCTGGTTTTTGTTATAGCTAAATAAGACTGTGCACATGACTACATCTCATTAGCTCGTGCACACACTGCCTGGGAAGGATTACACTGATTTTTTTGCCCAAACATTGTTTTATCTAACCTGGCCTTCCGACCACGAGAGTCATTCTAGAAATGCACTAATGATTTATGTAACTCCTTAGGACCATTTAATGGCTGTGTGAGAGGTGCACAGGTTATTTAAATGTATAAGGAATGTAACCTGATTGTCCTCCTGGCTGTAAAACCCACGGCTGTTTGAGAGCAGCCACCCAGAGCCAAGGCAGCCCCAGGGACAGGGATGGCAATGAGGGTCTCCAGGCTTTTGTGCTGCTGTCACAGCTTTCCCTTTTTCCTGCCCTACTTCAGGCCAAAGTAAGTTTTCATTCCCAGAGGGAATTCCTTGAGGAAAATATTGAGGTGCTACGGGCATTGTGTGGCCTTCACAGGCTCTTTTGGAAACCCTGGTTGGGTTCCTCTGTGTGGGATCCCTCACTGGATTCCAGTGACAAAGAAGAATCATGGAATCATTTAGATTGGAAAAGATCTCCAGGGCCATTGAATCCAGCCTGTGACCAATCCCCACCTTGTCCCCCAGCCCAGAGCACTGAGTGCCATGTCCAGTCCTTCCTTGGACACCTCTAGGGATGGGGACTCCACCACCTCCCTGGGCAGCCCCTGCCAATGCCTGACAACCCTTTCCATGAGGACATTCCTCATGCTGACCCATCCACATTTCCAGGGTCCAGCCATGCCACTCTCAGCCCTCTCCTGGAACCTCTTTTGACACAGGAAGAGCAGCCCACAAATGTGACCTCACAAGAAAAGAGGCCACTGTCCTATTTGGAGGTGACTCTCACCCCATTCCCAGCTGTGCCTGTGGGCCCTGGCATCCTGAATACAGACTTGTGCACACTGATACACTCCAAAAGGCAAATGTGTGTCCTTGCATGCCGGGTTTGAACAGAACACATGCAAATATTGTGATGCAGAGAGAGGAACTGCTTGGGTGTTGGACCTGCTGTCCCATCAGGCAGCACACACTGTCCCATGCATGGTTCAAAAATGTTTAAAATGTTAAAAATGTTGCATGATTTTAAATCTTTCTTTCACAATTTTGTAGATCCTTATCAGATACTTGGACCGACCAGCAGCCGACTTGCAAATCCAGGTGAGAAGGGGTTTCTGCTGATTTAGGAGGAATTCTCTTCATTCTTAGTGTCCCCATTTGAGCTTTCAGACCACACCTGGGAGGTGATGTGGTTGATTTTACCACTCCTCAGTGTGACTCAGTGGGAGCTGATGTTACCCAGTGGGTTGCAGAAATTGGGTTTCTAAGTTACACAAGGGTGGGACTGAGGTCACAGATTGAAACAGAAACTCATGTACCTTAATTTGGGTGTCTGGATGTCAGCTGGGCATCTGATTTCCCATGATATTCACTGGAGATACACTTAATATAGCTCTCTGTTGAGAACTGTTCAAATCACCCTGGAGTAGATGGTTACACTCGGTCAGCTGAGCACCTCATTAGAGGTATTTGAGCTCCTCATATCAACAGGAATCATGGAATCATTAAGGTTGGAAAAGACCTCCAAGACCATCAAGTCCAGCCTTTGAAGCTGGAGTTCACTTCAGTTGCCTAAACATCAGGATTTTATTAAGACACCCCATCTGGCCTCCAGTTACCCCTCCAGAAGGGAACGAGTCTCTTACCAATCTGCATCATATGTGTCCCAGATCCTGTTAACCCACAGCACAGTCTCATACTGGCCTTGACAAATACAAAATTTTGGGATGAGTAACCCAAGCCAGCAGAAATATATAGGAAAAAAAAAAACAGAAAAGCATAATGTATTTGCAAAGAATAGCTGGGTTAAACACTTCCAAAATATTCTCCCACTTGAAGAAGGCAATGAGGTGAATCATGGACAGGGACTTGTAGCATAGAATAGAGTCATAGAATCATTTAGGTTGGAAAAGACCTCTGAGATCATCGAGTCCAACCTTTGACCATAATGTTTTCACTAAAGACAAGGGACTTTCTGGGTAAATTATTAGCTCTGGTTGGGAATTGTGTGGATTTCACTGGAGCTGCCCCGAGTCCGCAGGACACTCTGTGGCTGTACAGCACCATAATCAGCATCATAATCTGCCACAAAGGATTGACATTGTGTGTTCCACTTCCTATTTCCCTTCTTGAACCGTCACAGGGCACAGAATTTCTCATTCCACATTCTCCTCAACCCCCAGTGACAGTGTTTCTTTTTACAACAATCACACGGCTTTTCAAGGCCTCAAATTGCCAAAATACTGATCCCTTTCCTTTCACTTTATCCCGAGTGACATCAAGCCCAGTTCTAGATTAGCTGACTTTCTGAACAGCTTTGTGTAGCAGAGGAAAGGAATTAAATAAGTGTTAAGAACAGGATTTTCCAAATGGCCTGGGGCGGTGGGTTTCCAGATAACACTGGTCTTAACTGGAAATAGGGGCCTACATCCCTTTAATTTGTCCATAAATCATGACTTTTAAAATTTTATCAAGTGTCCATTTGGTAGACTTCATTACTGTGGATGACATTCACATGATCTGGTTTGGGATGCTTTTTTAACATTTGGATATGGAATTTCTACACGCCATCGTTCCCGTGCTTTACCACGTTTTGTGTGTTTATGAATTGGTGGAATTACTCTCTCATTAAAAGGAAATTGACAGCAACCATTTATTTTCATAGGACTATATATTACATTTGGAAGGCAAGTGTTTATGTTAGAACATGTGTTGGATTGCTTATTCAAAAAATTTGTGTTTTGTCCGGTGCTGAACTGTTTATTGATTTTCAAAGGCTAATCCCCTTGTTATGTTTCGTGCATTAAATCTTGCATGCCTCGCTCATACCACGGATTCTTCTGTTTGTTTGTTTATCTAACGCATGTTAATGGAACAGAAGAAATTCATTAAGGACAGTTTGGATAAATATCATTGGAACGAAGATGGGTTTCAGTTACACTGAAGTATAAACTGCCAGTGGATTTCAGATGCTACTCTAGCTTGATATTGTAATGGCTACTATGAGCTCTCTAAAGAAAAGTTTGTTTATTGTACCCATAAAGCTGGTTTGGGGGAATAAAAAAAAAAGAAACCAAACCAATTCCTGGTCAGGGATGTACTTAGAATTAGCACATCCAGGCTGGTTGGCAAATTCTGCTGACACTGTGCTTGTGAAACAGATTGCCCTGCAAGCTGCTTCGGCTCGATTTTGCATCATTTCAGTGCTGCTTTGTTAAGAAACGCTAAGCTTTTCACAGTATCAGTGGCAAGGCCCTTTGAAACCTACTTTCAATTGTCCAAAATGGTCAAATTTTGTCGCTCTGGCTCGATTTTGCAAAGTTTACAGCGGATTGATTATTTTGATTTCGAGATTAAATTGGCAGAGAGCGAGAAAAACGCGACGGCAGCATTTTGAGTCTTAACCTAAAATTTAACTCAAACTCATTTAATGAAGCAGAATGATGACAAGGAATGTATTTTATGGACCTTTTCACTGTTCTTGCAAGTGTTTTGCCCTCTGGTTGTATGCAGTGCAACAGCAAGCTAATAAGTTTCCGTTCTGCATTTCCCCAAACGCTGCAAATGGGTGATATGGTTTGGCACCAGCTCAGCTCTCTCTAAACTTCTCCATTTTGTGGGGGCTCATTCCATAGCAGGGAACATTTAGTTGCAACATAATGCTGTGAGAACAAGCGAAAATGTTACGCAAGTGAAAGCTGTTTGTCCTGAACTTTAGAGATTAGTTTCCTAAATGAGCGCTGGATTATTTCCCCATCAATTGTCTGCGCTGAGTGACATTAGGTAACAATTAAACCTCCGTCTAATGGCATTCTGCCACTCACATGAGGGAAAACATGACACATAACAATTATCCCTGCTCTTTAGGATTTCGTGAGGCAGTCCTGGGAGAAGGGGGGAATGGTTAAGGGTGAGAATTAGGAACCAGCATTGCAACATTTCCTAGTGGGGTCCTCTGTGAGAGACAGAAGAATTGATGTCTTGCTGTTGTTCGTCGCCAGCCCTGACATTTCTGCTTTGTTTCTCGGCGCAGGGAGCGGGCAGATCCAGCTATGGCAGTTCCTGCTGGAGCTCCTCTCGGACAGCTCCAACTCCAACTGCATCACCTGGGAGGGCACCAACGGGGAGTTCAAGATGACGGACCCCGACGAGGTCGCCCGGCGCTGGGGCGAGCGGAAGAGCAAACCCAACATGAACTATGACAAACTCAGCCGCGCCCTCCGCTACTACTACGACAAAAACATCATGACCAAGGTCCATGGCAAGCGCTACGCCTACAAATTCGACTTCCACGGCATCGCCCAGGCCCTCCAGCCTCACCCCCCGGAGTCCTCCATGTACAAATACCCGTCAGACCTCCCCTACATGAGCTCCTACCACGCGCACCCTCAGAAGATGAACTTTGTAGCTCCCCACCCCCCTGCTTTGCCCGTGACATCGTCGAGCTTTTTCGCCGCCCCGACTCCCTACTGGAATTCGCCAACTGGAGGGATCTACCCCAACACCAGGCTGCCAGCTGCTCATATGCCTTCTCATCTTGGCACCTACTACTAAGCGTGGGGTGGGGTGGGGGAAAAGAAACTCCAGAAAAAGCAAAGACACTTCTCGCTGGGATGAAGGAATCGCAGCGAACTCTGTGGGAGTACACGAATTCAAAGTGCCTAAAGAGACAAGGGAAGGTTTGGCTGGGAAAAAAACCATTTTAAAAATAGATGTCAAAAAGACTCTTTGTAGTAGGGATTTAAAGGAAATATCCAAGAAGTATTAAGATACTAAAATGTAATGTATATGGGCATCGACTCTGTGGACCAAACAACAATAGACTATTGTAGGTGAAAGCATGAAATGATAAGGAAAACCTACGGAAGCTGGTGGTCTTAAAAAGTTGATAAGCTTATGTGTAAAGTTTGATACCTTGCTAGTGCAAAACTGGGACTATACTACAGCAATATAAGGATAAGTCTATAGTGACCTAACATACAATATATGGATCATTAAAAAAGAGGAGGGAAAAGGGAAAAAAAAAAAAAGGAAAAAAACCACACCTGTCTGTATTTAAAAAATAGAAACATATCAACAGAAGAGACTGGTTAATGTGGAAGCTGATTTGGAAAATAGCTGCATTGTTTTACTTAAAAGCGAATGAGTTCCATTCATTGGAGGGAATCAGCTACTCAAACTGTGAAGACAACCCAAACTTTCAGATTCCTTGACAGTATTGCAGGAACCCTGAGCCAAACATTGGAAATGAGAATGTGCTGAAGGGCGAGTGTATGATTGTAGATCAGAGGCCTGTACCTGACAGAGGAAGCAGGAAGGAGAAGGGGAGGGATGAAGGTGGTGAGAATGGGAGAAAAGAAACTTCTTCACCAGCAGAGACTGAAAAGACTGAAAAACTCAGTAGCGTTGGGGACTGTGAAGAAACACTTGTTTGGACTTGTGAAACGTATTGCTCAGTATTATACCATTCCCAGTATTTCAGGTGGAACAGACTTGATTTCCTAGTAAAAAAAAAAAAAAAAAGGCAGGAAAAGGGAAAAGCAGAAGAATTCAGAAATCAGAACACGCATCTCTCTCACTCTTTTTTTTTTTTTTGGTAAAAAAAAAAAAAGCAAAACTGGAATTGTGTCTGATATTTAAAAGTTACCGGTTAGAACCTCATCACTGCTAAGGGAGCTTTGTTTTCTAGTGGTTAAAGCAAGAGACAACCAAGATCAGAAATCACCTAAGTATTTTTGTGAGGCGGGCGCCAGTTTTTCTTATTGAGTCGCGAACGCTGTGCGTTTGTCAGAGTGAAGTATACAAGTCAATGTTATTTTTTTTTTTCCTTTTTATATAATTATTATATAACTTATGCATTTATACACTACGAGTTGATCTCGGCCAACCAAAGACACACACACACACACACACACAAACACACACACAAAAACCAAAAAAAAGGGACAATCGAATAAAAACCGAACTATCGTGGCCTTGAATTTTAACTCTGTATGCTTTAATGTTTACATTATGAACATTATTAGTACTTAGAATGCAGAATGTATGTAATAAAATAAGCTTGGCCTAGCATGGCAATTCAGATTGACACTGTGGTTTGCATTTGTATTTGCATTTTTAGTGCCTGGCGCCCTCATCAGATCTGCTGCTCAGAATAAGCCAGGAGTTTTGGTTTGGGAAATCTAGCAGTCTTGGAAACATAGGGCTGAACAGCCAAAGTTCAAAGTGGGCATGTACTTTTGTTCTTTTCCAGAAAGTTCTCCTAAAACACTTGCAACCCTTCTTCAACAGTGCCTTACCATTCCTGTCCTGAGCTTCTTTTGCCCAGGGATTGCAAGCACGCCCAGTTCTTTGACAGCTCCATGGCCAAGGTGGAAAGTGAAGTCTAAAAGAGACCTCTAAGGAAGGATATTGATACTGAGCAATTATCTTTTGTTGCCATCAAATTATGCTGCAAAATCTCAGCCTGAGATGTATCTTCCTACTGAATATGCTGAATTAGCAGACCCCCTTGCTCTTAACACAGACTGTATCATCATTAGTAAATAAAGTGAATAACGAATAATTTCCATTATTCCTCACTTTAGAATGGAGTGTATGGTAGCTCATTAATTTGTCATTGCAGTCCATCCTGGCTGCTTACAAAGGGCAGGATTTTTTTATTTTTTTTTTTTTTTACTCTTCCATCTTTACAGGCTTCCCACACTGTACCCTGGGCCCCAAAAAACTCCATCTGGTGCCTCGTGGCATGACTCCATTTTTTTTGCAACACCATCTGAAGGACTAGTTTGGAAAATCAGCACTGACATTTATGAGTGTTTACTGCAGAGACCCCAGACAGCTCAGACCTCTGGGTCCCTCCTTTTTGCTGCTCTTTTCTCCTTTTTTTTTCCCCTGACAAAATGGGTGTGGTTTCAGGTTTTGCAGCAGATCCAATGTGCAATGGGAGCCAACTTGCCAAGCTGTCATGTTATGGGGTGTCTTGGTGGCACTTTATAAGCACAGGATTGTGTTACTGATGTGTGAGACCTTGTGATCATCTGGGAAGTAAGCACTGTAAGTCTATATCTCTTAAAAATAATAGAAAAAAAAAAGAAGTCTTGGAAAAGGTTAGTCACCCACGATTTTAGAAAGTTATGGCAGGCACACCTACATGTGACAATGAGAATAAATAATTTGCCTTTCAGTGGAAATACATCTACAGATGCCTCACTGTCTGCTTCATGTGTGCTTCCAACCCCAAACTCAAAATGATAAGTGTATTTTTGAACCAACTCTTAATTGAGCACTTAAAAATCCAGATAAAGCAACCATTTTTGTTTGGATTGGAGATGACGTGCCCAGAGGCCTCCAAGGCATCCCCACTGCTCACAGAGCTGCCTGCAGGATTTCCAGCCTGTGTTACCTGGCAATGGGAACAGGATCCTGACATTGGAAGGAAGGATCTAAACCCTGATACAGGGGTGGAGTCCCAGCAGGTGGCCTGATGGAGTCCCCTCATGATGAAGAACAAAATCCTGCAGTAGGACACGGGAAGGTCACCGGTGAATTAGAGCTACACCTTTCTCCAGGACCAGCTCACAGCTTACCAGGAGCCTTGGAAAACCTGGATATTGCAACTCTGAGGATGAAGAGAGTGAAGGATGGAGAGATCCTTCTGCTGCTACATCAGGACTACTTTTAGGGTCTCCCTATCCCAGGGAGCAGCCACCCCATGGTCTCTTCCCTCTGGATGTCAAGGACCAACCTGGTGCCTCAGGGCACTGACAGAACCAACACAGATCCATGGCAGTGTCTCTGCTCTCACTGCCCAGTCTGGTGCTGCTGCTGGGAGCCAGAAAGACCAGAGCAAGGCCAGAGTTTTAGGAGTTGTTTCCCAGTTCAGTCCATGACTATGGATGGGCCCAGCACAGCCAAAATTCTCAGGGAAGCTGAGAAACTCCATGTCCACACCATGAGAGATGTTCACGTGAGGCTCAGACAGACACCAAGATGTGGCTGAACATTCTCTTTGCCATTTAGGTACCTGGATGCATGGACAGCATGGCTCTGATAAGTGTACATTTGTACAAGTTTGTCATGTTGACAACTTTGACCCTTTATTTAAATCAGGACTTCTTTTAAAGTCAGTTGTCAGTCAAGTTTCAAACTTTATTGCAGCACTTCTCACATTCCCAAGAGTCCACGTTGGATACCTCAAATCCCACATGCCTTTTAAACTGCCCATAGAAACACAGGGATCATCAGTGATTTAGACTTTCTTCTGCAAATTCTTCTGTCTCAGACTGTTTCTCACACCTGCTGAGATGTAATTTTAAAATAAATTTTTAATTACAGATGCATTACAGAAAGGGAAAAAACAAACAACGAAACATTTTACCTGTATTATATGATTAGTCATCCCATGATCTTTTTCTGTGCCATCTTCTCAAGTTTTGGGCACATCAGTGGAATGGCCCTGAGAACAGTCTCATCCTCATCCCTCCAAAGTGTTCAGTTAATTCGTGACTGAATTCTACCTGCCTCCTGAAGCAATCCTGATGTGACACAAATGCTTTGTTCCCTATCTGGTGGGCAGTGGGAGCATTTGGATACCTTCACAGCAGATCCTGGGACCTTACTTAAGGAGATGAGGAGCTACCATGGATGCTCACATTGGACAGTGGCTATTCCTTGGGACCTTGTTGACCACCAGCAAGACAAACCCTTTCATGAGGGACAGGTAACCCAGATATGTGGTGGAAAAAAACCCCTCCCTTGTGTTTTCTTGGTAAAGATATTTCTTCTTCTGTTCCCCTGACTGGAGCTGTCCCATCCCTTGCTGCGTTGGGAACAGCGAGGTCAAACACAACTATGAAAGCTCAGTAAGCTTGAGTTAAACTTTTGGGAAGCACATGAGGCTCCTCAGAAGGCTGTCCTGGCTCCCTGCTTGTTTTCAGGCTTCAGCTGCAACACCCAAAGTGTCTTTGCTCCACTGCTGTCCCATGGGTGGGATGACCACTCCTTGGAGGCATCAGCAGCTGAGACATCATCAGATGTGTGACCCGGTGTGAGCCTGGACTGAAGAACTTTGAGCTGGGTAATGAGGGTAATAGGCCAACTGGAATGTGGAAAATTGTTGCAAAATTCAATCACAGAATCACAGAATGGTTTGGGTTGGAAAGGACCTTAAAGATCATCCAGTTCCACCCCCCTGCCATGGGCAGGGACACCTTCCACTAGCCCAGGTTGCTCCAAACCCATCCAACCTGGCCTACAACACTTCCAGGAACCCAGGGGCAGCCACAGCTTCTCTGGGCAACCTGAGCCAGGGCCTCAGCACTCTCACAGGGAGGAATTTCTTCTAACCCTACTCTCTGTCAGTTTGAAGCCATTCCCCCTTGTCCTGTCACTACATTCTCTTGTAAAAAAATCCCTCCCCTCCTTTCTTGTATGGTCCCTTCCCATCATTGTTTAAAAGGGCACATATTTTCAAGAAAACTAATAAAACAGGGGGGGTTAAGCCAGAAATTACCCCTGAGATGTACTTTTGAATCAGTGGAGTGAGGACTCCTCAAAACCAGGCTCAGAAAATTTTTGTGTTGTATACCAGAGTATCGGTTTGCATATATTTTATAAGAATAAGGAACAGAATAGTTTTCAATGCACAATCCTAGAAGCAGTGAGAAATTCTTCTTGGGAAACCCCATCCATCTTCCTCAGTAAAACAGAAGTATTTTCAATTGTACACTTACTGATATTTCCTGAACCTTCTTCTCATTTGAAAAGGTCTCAACTCCAGGGTATTTCCACCCATTCCCGTGACACAGAAGATGATACATCTCATTGTCAAAGGGTTTTTTTTTTTTTGTTGTTGCTTTCCTGCTGCTTTTGTATTTTGCAGCTTCATCTGATTGCACTCCCCATGCATCACACTCCAGAGTTCCTTGCCTGCCTCAATGTTTACAGCTTTCCAAATATTTGTAGACTGTTATCACGCTCCCTTGGACTGGGAGTTTGCCAAGCTTAGACATATTCCACTTCACAGACCTATCCCTCTTCTTCTCTGATAATTGTTAATGGGCCCTCTTTCTTCTTTTTCCCTTTTTCCCCCCCTTTTTATCCCTGTTTCTTCACATGACCAGGCCTGATGTCTCCTTCTGTCTAAACTATTACCATGTAGGACTTCTCTGGCTGCCATCTCCATCCCACTGGAGTCTGTGCTTCTCTCCCCAGCCATGATCTTCTTATATTCTCACTTGACTGAAAGGTGAGCAGCTTGAGCAGCTAGAAGATGGACTTTCATGCTTTTCTTTGTTTGGAGTTTCTTTCTCATGAACTGAAAATCCTCCTTTCCTCAGGTCTTTCCACCAGCAGACCACTGGGAAGGTTTTTCCAAACTGTTGACTGTAATAGTTCCACCAGCTCGGAATCATCGAGGCTGGAAGAGACCTTCATGATCATCCAGTCCCACCATCAACCCAGCACCACCATAATCACCCCTAATCCATGTCCCCAAGTGCCACATCCAGATACTAAAACGGATTCTTAAAACAGGCACAAGCACTTGGGCTAAAAGATTGCCGTGGCACTTTTAGGCTTC